GGGGGGGGGGGGGGGGGGGGGGGGGGGGGGGGGGGGGGGGGGGGGGGGGGTGGAGAGAGAGAGAGGGATGCTCTGGAGCTGTAGCAGCAAGTGGTGAGTTAAGTGTCCTGGTGGTGAGGTCCCTGGCTGCGCATATCGAGTTTGACTCTTGAACTCTCCCTGCTGTGAAAGGCAAAGGGCCAAGTTTTTCAGTAAGGCTGTGTTGCAAGTGATAGTCCTCTGATTGCAGCCACACGTACAGAGGCTGGATGTTTCATACAAAGAAATACAAATCTGTGTTTCTGCGTAACCGGGTGAACTACCTCATTTATTAAATTCGGCTTTTAATTTCTTAAGAGGTTTCCTTTATGTATCTGCATGTATGTTTTTAGCAAAATGTAATTAATATCAGAGTGCCACCTCAACTAGGATTTTGAAAATAATTTATAATCATAGTACAGAGGATCAAAAAGCCATACCAAGTCACTTTTGTTAAGAAGGATAAATCTTTTGAATGAAATTACTAGTCTTGTTTTCTCTTTTGGTACTGAAGTGCAATTATCTTGCATGTAAACACTGCACCAAATAAATTTTTTTTTTTACAAGTAGTTTTCCTTAGTAGTGGTTTATATCTGTTTGCTTGGATTTTTTTGGAAGCAGTTGCTAGATTCAGTGTCTGTAGTGCTTTGAGAATCTGATTTTTAAAAAACAAACCAAAAAAACTCTACAAAGAAACCCAACCCAAAAAAACAAAGCAAAAGAAAAGCGATCCAATAGCTTGTTTTCATTCCAGTATTTCACATCCTGAAATAAACCCAGAGAAAGAGACCTGTGTGTCCAGGAATGTTGAATGTCTTTAGTGGCTGGGTCTGATGAAGTCATTTGCACTTGGGAAATCGAATTAAATAAAGAAGTTTAGCCAAAAGGCAGTGGTTTGAGGGAGTTGCACCCTGTTTTGTCATTACATCTCATGTTGCCTGAAGCAATGTGTACCTGCCTTTCTTCTCTAGGTGTGAGACATGGTGTTTTCAATAGAACATGAGCATAAAGTGTGCCTTGGGGGGTACCATGATGTAGTAAACAAGTTTAAAGTACTTTCAAAATAGAAATTAAATAAAGTTATGTTACCAGGATTTTTTTTATGGCTTCTGATCTGCAGCACTGTAAGTCAATAGTATCAAAACAGTATACTGAAATGTGGAAAAATGGCAGTAGTGCTATGAGGTGAACACTGTGCCCACAGATGCCAGCCGTCTGCTGCTGTAGTTTCATGTCAGGGTCAAACACCTATCATTTCTAACATGAAGAGAAGGCTTTTCTTCTAAGCATCTTGGAAATTACTGTATGGCACACTGTACAAGCACATATTTTTTTAGCTGAATGCGCATTACTCTTGCTGCACAAAACACAGCTTTGCCCAGAAAAAAAAAAAATCCTCCATATGGAAGATGTAACGCATACAGGGTGCCATATTATATTTTGCACTGGTTTTCATGAAATGAAAGCTTTTAGAAAGGTTCCCATTGCCTTGGGCGAGGGGAAGGAAAAAGGCAGCAATTAACATGCTGAGACACCCTTCTAATGTTTAACATCCTGGGTGGTGTTTAATCCCTTTGGATATCCAAATCTTGCCATCTGCTCAATTGCCCAACAGTCCCAAATTTTGAGGCAATGCTCTAGGCATTCAAAGAAAGCCTTTCTCTACAAATCAGAGAACTGAAAAAGGAGAAACAGAACCATTCGCATCCTGTAGATATACCAATCTTTCCCTCTAGGCTGGAACTGTTTCATCATTTCCCACCCCACCCCCCGGACATACTGGGCTGGAATTTAACAGTGGCAATACCTTGCAGACTCACCTTTCAGGTGATGGCAGAAAGGACAACCATCACAGTATGGCAAAAACACAAAGGGGAGTGGTGGACTGCTAGGGTTGTGTGCTAAGCTTCGTCTAGGAAAGTTAGATAATCTGATTTCTACAGTTTGTGAGTTACACAGCTGAAAGTCCTCATCTTAATTTAAAAAAAACAAACCCAACACAACAACTCTTAGAGCTCTAGCTTTTTAATAATTGTTTCAATGATTATACAGCGTTCATGAAGCAAATTTTAAAAAATAGCTTAACATTTATTTAATCACAACCCCCCCACCAGAGCACTTTACATGAGTAGGTGTCTGCATGTAGGTGCTTATGGAAATAAAAGCAGAACTGAACATTAGAAATGAGTGCTAAAGGTCTGTGCTGGCATTTTAGGCTAGAAAATGCCAGCACATGGGGGGATTTTAGGCTAGAAAATGCTAGAAAGCAAGAGTAGAAAAATACTTCTGAAAAATAAATCTACAGCAAGGTGAAGTCTCTCAGGGACTGATAGGCTTTGGCGAGACGATTAACTCGTTGACTGAGGTAACTCCTGTGTTTAGCAGCTTCGCTGTCCTCCTGAAGGAGTTGGCTTATCTTGTCTCTTTCTTGCAAAAGATGCAACATTGCGGTCTGTAAGTTATCCCCGAAATCATGAAGGGCATAAGACAGGATAATCAGAGGTATCTGATTGGAGAGGCGTTTACTTGCTCCCTGCAAGAAGGGGAAGAAAAGGCAGAAGACTTGTTTCCCAAAAAGGAACTAAAAAAGGAAGGGGCTATAGGTAATCTGGCAGGAAGTGACAGCACCTTTTTTAAATGTTGTACTGAGTTACTATTTAAGGGTGCATCTAGGAATTAAAAAGTGTTTGCCATTAGACTCTTTTGTGCCTAAAGATCTAAAAGTTAGGAATTAGTTTGCAGACATCTAGTCAATAGCAAGCAATTCAGCTGAGTCAGGTAAAGCACTTATTGAGCCTACATGTTCTCTAGGCACTTCTGACCATGATGGGAGGAATAGGTGCTTTAAATATGGGTGGTTTTCTGGAGCCAAACTCTACTCAAAATCTTGACAGTCCTGCTATAGACAACACAGATTCATGCATGCCATTTTCAAAGGCCATGGACACTTATGAGATTTCATCTCATGCAAAGTGTATTTGGCTTTGCATACATGTCGTGGAGGTATGATGCACTGACATTTGTTATTGTTGAAATTGCACTTAGGACATTTATGGAAATGTGTAACTAACATCTAAGACATTTATGTTATAGCAGAGAGTATAGCGAGGCAGGAGGGAAGAGCTTATGCAGTTCTGCCTTTGTCTCTTGTTCTCTGAAAGCTGCTAGTTTTCTATCAGCCTGAGCAACCTGAACATTTAATTGCATGAATTTGTCAAAACCTTGCTATTGAAATTCAAGGTGAGTTACTACCTACCTTAATGCTTTATTAATATTGATCTTGTTGCTTTCTGGGGGAGTTTTACAAAACAAAGATCAAAAGCAAATCCTGATACTGTGTGTTCTCTTTGCTGTGTTTCTTTAACATGATCCTTTGTTAAAACATCCCATTTGTCTTCAGAGACAACTCCTATGAAGCTATCTGCAGTACAGCATACGCACTCTGATCTCTACAGATAGCTGAATCCTTTTTAGCTTAACATTTTATTATCACTCCTCCTGCTGCATTAGTTTAGGATCTGACTGCAAGCCACTGACACGACGTTCTGCTGGCAGCAGGAATATGCAGAGGGTCTCGAGGTTGACCTGAGCTCTCAGACACTGTGCCAAACAATGAAGTGCTGTACATAATGTCGTTAAGTTTATGGAAATTAGTGTTATTTTTAAACCATGAGACAAACTTGCAGTGGGGAAAGCAATCCTGGAACTATTTCTGCCTTTGTTGGAGAGGGGGGCTTGCCTTTAACTGAATATCAATAACTTTGAATTACAGGGTCAAGGGCTCTTTCCCATCCTATTCTCTCCTCCATGCTGGGAAGTTACTGTCCTTTCCCCCCCCTGACACTTGTTCCCATCAGAAAGCCAGCAAGAGAACAGTCTACTGGTGTGGAGCTGTGTAGGAGACAGGGAGTCACCTCTATGAAAGGCTGGAAGAGGATGAGGAGTCCACTTGCTGATGGCATATTCCCTGAGTGAGGGGCAGCTGCAGTAGGGAGCCATGCCCGGCTGGGGGGTAGCTAGCAAGTGGCTTAAAGAACCAGCTGTCATTTTAAAAACCTGCAGGCATTTCTAGTCGCCATATCCTGCAGAGGGCAACAACTCCCCTGCGACTGTGCTGACACAGCCCATCAGACCAGCTTTGTCCTGGCATTTTCATCACTGGCCAGAATCTCCAAATAATTTGTACTGAAACTGCATGTACCTGGATGAGAAACTTATACCCTCTGGCTAGTATTGCCTGCATAGTGGTGGTATTGCATGAAAGACTCATATTGACTACAGATATATCTGGATAAGAGGAATATGCTATAACATTTAGGGTGCAGAAGAACTGCTATATTGTAGTCTGTAAACTCACATTGAAATAGGCCTTCGTGTGAGAAACCATTTCCTGGACAAAGGAGGGCTCTTGATTAAAAACAGATCCAAATGGCAACTCTTTCCCATTGCCAGCTTTGGTAGCGTTTTCTACCTTAACAGAGTTTAAATCATTACTGTAAAGGTCATCTTGGCAATATACAATTCTCTCCATTTTAAACTGGGTCCGGATATGTCTTTCAGCCACCGCTGCTTGTTTCTCTCTAATGTCTTCAACTCTGGTCTAGGAAACAAAAAAACCAAGAATTTCTCAGACATTTGCTTCCTTTGCAAAAGTGCTGGTGCTTAGCAGTGTCCCCAGGGAACGGCAAGGTGGGCACAGTGTTCAACAGTGCAGCACTGTCTAATCGCAGACTGGCTCTTGAGAACATGGAGTAATGCTTTAGATTCTGGTTCCTCTGTTGTGAAATAGTAGGAAAATGTAGTGAGTTTGTCCCCTCCTTAAACATGAGTGGGATTAGTCAAAACCTGGTGCTTGGACCCTGATGGAAAATAAAAGGTTGATGTGAACAAGCAGCAATGGCCAGCCATGAGTTCAGCCTGCAGCCTGTCTTCGGTTTTTGCATGGATTTGTTTGTGTCTCCCTTTTGCAGTAGGCAGTGACAGCAGGCACTGATGTGAACTCCACTGCCTTTCCTGCCCTTCTCAAAAATCGCAGTCTCCTATCTGCTGTCAGCGCACCAACCATCTAACCCCTCACTGGCGCTTTTATTGAAGTAATCTGATGCTTTCTGGCCTTTTTGATACTTCCACCTAAAAATCTGTGGGGGCAACAAAGTTCCCTCAGTCATCCTCAAAATGCATCCTCAAATAGCATCCCTGTGAAAGCATCCTATCTTTTTTCTCATGTTCACTGACTACCAGAACTTCCTCCCTCTTCATTCCTCTCACCAAGGCCTAAAGATCTTCCCCTCTGTCTTTGGCTGAACTAGCTTGTTTGCTTGCTGTATGGTTGTCCTGGGAGCTCAGTAGGGTTTGGCCATGCAAGTCAAATAGCAAATGATCTATTTCACTCATGTTTGCCTTTGAGTTTCCTTTTTAAGTAATACCCTGTGAGTGGACTCTGCTTCCTGGCTGTCCAGCATTGCTTTTCATCTTTTCAGTGCTCTTTCTGAGCAAAGGCCTTGAATGACATCTGTATCATTTAGCTCCACCCTAAAACATGTAATCCCCCAAACTGTGAAGTCACCTTCTAACTCTCTCATAGTTGAATGAGTTTTGGCTTTGCTGCTGCTCCCTTTTATCAAAGGTGAGATTCCTGCTGGCTAACAGCCTGGATTGCCTTTCAGAGAGGGAAAAGCACTGTTTCATGCTCTGAGGATTAACAAATAAGCGCAGGACTTAAATTTGAAATTAGTTATAAATTCTTATAGGCAGTCAAGGCAGTCAAACCAGGTTTTCTTTGCATTGTGTTGTATGTGTCAAGAATGTGATCAGAATGAATGAAGAGTGTATGTTTCAGATCTCCTCAAAGTTGTACTGAAAGGTAAAGTGCACCTTCATTAGTGCCATTATAAACATGCTATCATTTTAAAGCTCTTTCTTATTTTGTAAAACTGTAGGTCTGCAAGAAATTCCATGCTTGCATGAGGGTAGTGCAATGGGATAGGTACTGTAAGCATGGCTGTATTTACAAATGCCATTCTGTCCTACTCTTGTCTTAACTCAGGTTAAAGGTAGTGTCTCACCTTAGCAGCTCTGTTTAGATTGTGAAAATTAGTGAAGTGCCTTTTAGTGAGTTCCACAAATTTCTCTTGAACCATTCCTAAGGGAAGAACAGACACAAAGTCAGGTAAACAAGTGAGGTTTTAAGCTATTGTCAATACGAGACTTGGAAAAACTACTAATTTTCTGTATTCATCCAGAAATAGCTAAGCAGCTGTACTGATGCACTATGTCTTTATGACCAATAAAAACAAGTAGGAATGTAGATTTCTAGGTCCAAGAGTATGAGCCATTAAAGACCTCCTGTAACCACTTAACACCTGAGAGATTGAGTATCACTGAGATTTCCTTGGTAAAGCAATTTCTGTGCTTACAGCTGTGTCTGACCAGATGTGACATCATTCACCTGTGTGGCCATATCTGCATCTCACCCTCTGAGTGGCTTCCCCAGGAAGAGGGGCTGGTGCATATAGTACAGAGCGCTGAGTCTGGCACAGACGCCATAGCTGCCTTCTAAGGCAAACATAGGAGAGACAGGATCATGACATACTTTTTCTCTTGGTGTTTTTTACTGGATGAACTACTTACCCTTTCCCCCAGCCCCAGCAGTCACTGTATAATACTCACAACATCATGCAAAGTACTGGCAAAGAAGCTGGGTTCTCAGTTCATGTTTGTGAATGCCACTCCCTAGGCTGGGAATACCAAGCTGCTTGGCTGGCACAAGGTATTTCTATTATACTATTCCTTTATTGTGTAATTTATTGTAGTTACTTTCTAACCAGCCACTGGGAAAAGTATTAACAAATGCTGGAGGCCACTTGTAGAGAGATTGGAGACTCTAGAGAGGAAGCAAGCCCCCAAGTTGAATCAGATTCAATTCCCCACTCTGAAGTATCCTGGCTGGAGCTCTTGCTCCAGCAGTGAGTCAGCTTATCCTGGAAAAAAATTGTCAGGCCCACCAGTGTCTCCCACGCAATAGCCTCATGTGATCTGCAAGACGTACTGATCACGTTGTGCAGTATCTCAACGGCTGGCTCCTCCAGTTCTATGATTTGCTCTTTTATGACATCCTCAAATGTCCTGTAATTCGTGAAGGCCGGGAGCTCCCGTCCACGATACTGGTCTTCATATTTCCACACTTTACTGGGTACATTTTTTTTAACTGTAATATTAAAATAACATTGCTTTACTACTCTATCACTCAGTTTATAAACTTCATATTTAATAAGAAAGTCTATTTTTCCTCTTTTAAATGCTCTTGAGAAGAAAAACTATTGAGACAATCTTTCAAGAAATATTGTTACTACAAAACTGAGATAACACACAGTATCGCTCAGTGGATGACCCATCTCACACACTGGATCAAGCATCTAACTGACAGAAAGCAATCCAAAATTATGATGGTGCTCAAAAATACTGATTCTTCTTGGAACTGCTACCCTTATAAAAGTGGCCATTACCAGTCACTTCTGAGTTTTAAAAAACCCAGAACAAAACAAAAACCCAAACTTACTAAACAGTCACCCCAGGAAATCTACTGTTGGCTATTTAAGGTATCACAGTCAATATTTCTTTGTTTACATTATACAAACTTGCCATCTCAGATGAGGGATATCCCTTCATATTAGTTTACACATTCAGGTAAAGATGTGTTTCTGTGTGTTTTGAAAGGTTTTGACATTGCCCTGTTTCAGGGTCAAATTTGTGAATCATGAATCAAGTGCAGATGTGGAAGTAGAAGTCGAGCCCTGAATGCATTCAATTCTAACATTCAGGTATATGAGTCCATGACTGAATAATAACAAAACAAAAAAACAAAAAAAGGAAAAGACAGAAGTAGATGTGGAGTATCTGGTTCAGAGTTTGAAAACATACCTGTACAGTTAAGGTAGTACAAAGCTGTAACATGGCCAAAAGAACATCTGTCAGCTTTGCGACAGAAAGTTCAAGGTTTTAACTATCCAAAGTATCTGCTATTTTTAATACTTTCATTCATCATAAGGAAGCTGAAGTTAAAGAGAATCATCTGACATGCAGTGATTGACCTTCAGAAATCCTAGTGGTGCCTGATAACAATGGTTTTTGCTAAGGAAGGGCTTGCTAAAGCTGCCTCTAGTTTTCAAGCTATGCAAGTGAACTTACCCTGCTGCACATGTAACTCCTTCACCTAAGCATATTGATTTTGGGTTACCATATTGTCAGCAAGAGCTGTGTAAGAGTTGCTGTATGATGCTCCCCTGATCCTATTGTGAAGTTGGATGTATTAGTTTATATCAATGGGGATAACCTGCAAATGCCTAGAGAATTCCACACTGTGGTTCTGCTGCCACATGATACCTTGTGCATCTTGTGCAACTGAGTTGCTCTTTGTCCTCTGAAGAAGCTACATCCTTCTGCTAGTGCTTTCTGCAGTTCTACATCAATTTCTTCATGCCTTCATTATCTTACTCTTTTATTCTTCTCCATAAAATCATGTTGATTGGCTTCGTACTTCATGGATGGGGCATAAGAGACATTCACATAGACGAATGTCTGTCTGTCTGTCTGTCTCTTTTCACATATATGCATATATATACAAATATTTGTCTCTGACTGATGGCACCTTTGCAGCCTGTTTGTACCTACCATTTTAGAGTCATTAGTGATGTTATCATAGATGTGCATCAAAGACCAGAATAACCTGTTTCAAGAGCTACTGCTTGACTGGCAGCTGATGTTATTTCATCTCTAGGAGTAAATGATGGAGTTTCTGAAAGATGTGAAAAATATGCTGCAAAAGATGTTGAGTGTATAGCAGAAGGTCAGTCTGGGTGTATCACCCTACACCTAAGTTTAGAACTGAGTTCAGTTAAACAGCAAGTTGGGTGATGCACAGAAAGGGGTACTCTTTATAAGGTTGTGGTTGTTTCAGACTCAGAATTGTTTACCCCACACCTTAATTGAGAGCTTAAATAGAACAAAAAAGACCAAAATACTACTACTACTACCTTTATTATATAGATGATGATGATGATGATGATTATTATTATTGTTGTTGTTGTTGTTATTATTGGTGTTGGTGTTGGTTTTGTTGCTGTTGTTTAGAAGATTGGTTCAGAGAATCACCAACTAGTTCTATCTACAATCTTGATTTTACTGTTTTGCTTGGAGAAGAGAGATATCCGCTGATCTCTCTGTAATGACAGCATTTAACGCAAGCTGGGTCTTTGACCCCAAGGACCAAAGCATAACTTGCCTAACACTACAACAGCTGAATGTTCCTGGCTTCTTGTTTTTTACTTTCTTCAAAACAACCTGTTGATGATGCTGTGTCTTGATTTAAATGCAAGGAAATGGAATCTCAGGTTAGCTACAAATGATGATTTTCTATGCTTACCCTTTGCAGCACACTCTAGGAGAATCACTTGCCATGTTTGAAACTCTCTGCGGATTTTTGCAAACAGTCTGATCTCATTTCCAAACAACTGTTCCTCTCCACGCATTGCCAGAGAGATGTCTTGATTAAAGAGTTTGATCAACTGTAATGAATTAAAGAACAAAGTGAGCAATGTAGTAAAGTTTAATTTCTTCAGTCTAACTTTGCATATGTTAAGTAAATCTGCGTCATTTGATGTTAAAGCAGGGACATGGTTCACTGAAAACATCCCTTCCTTACTTCTTTGATGCTCTTAGCTCCTGGGTTTTGGCTTTTTTTGATTTTTTTGTTTGTTTTCAAAACCAGAACAGCTAGAGGAGAACAAACTTGATACTATTTTTTTTTTGGTTCTGTTTTGGTGTGGTTTTGTTGTTCTCCCGTGGACTCTTAGAACCATTTACTAAATTCTAATTGACCAGACTTGTATGAAGTCTTTGAAGGCTGATGAGCCTTCCTGAGTATATCTGCTGGCCTGCTGAAAGTTTACTGTGAGGGATTAGCTCCCCAAAATGAGACACTAAGATGGATTCGCAAACCATATTTTGATATCAGGAATGCATTTGGTCTTATGAGTGGTGTAAACAATGGAATCCCCTCAAAATGTTGGGCAGGCAGGAATGTAAGTTTTCCCTCTCTGAGGTGACCAATCAACTGAGTTGTTGTTCAGTTCTCTTGTCTCATAATCACAGGAAAAACGTTGATAGAAGGGGCCATGAATTCCTGTGGTCCTTTATTTTTGCAGGTATGATGTATTCCTGCCAGAGGTTTGTCTATGTTATGCAAAAAGCTTCAGTGACAGATACCATAAGCTTCCTGGTGGTCCATGTCAATGTTTTGCTAAGTTTAGGTGGTTTCTTTTTCTCCCATATTTACCTCCTCGCTCTGCTCTGTACTGATACTTACATCTGTGAGGAAAATCAGCTTCTCAGACTCTGTTGTGGGTGCACCTCTTCTGTACTTCTGTAGATCCTGTAACGTTTTTTGGAGAACCTCATGTACTTGGTTCTCTAGTGTTGGCAAGGTTTTCTGGGGGGTAGACAGTAAAGAAGGACATTTAGGTAGGTTGAACATGTCTGGTTTTGGAAGGAAAACAATATCGCTTTAAGAGTAGCCTACTCCTACAGGTGACCTTTGCTGCTCTTAGGAGTCCAAGAGCTTGCTGCCTTTGTATCCCACACATGATAGTGAGACAGAATGGAAGTGCAAATATGGCCTTCATTGAGAGAAGACAGGGGGCTAGGATCTCCCTGAGAAATCAGGCTGGATGTCACTGTGAGGTGGGCAGAGTAGCTGCAGTAAGGAAACATTTCACCTACAGTGAGCCAAAAACTATGTCCTCACAGGTTGCCCCAGGAAGGTGGGGATGCAAGGAATATACTGGCCCCTCTGTTCCTGGTAAACACCTAATTGAACATGGCTGTTTAGTTGCTTATTTTATGTAAGGTTAAATAATAACATTTTCTTTTCTCCTTCAGGACTGAATTTAGAGGTTCCCCTGTATTTTAGCATTTTCCCTTAATGGAATAAGGTAAGTTACTTACAGATATGCATATATAAAACTAAAACCCCAATATACTTACATTAATACAGTAATATAATAAAACAGATCTTACTTGAGAGTTAGAAGACATTTTAAGTTATTGCGTTTTAGTAAGCTCATAGCAGTAACTTGTCACCCAGCCAATCAACACTCTTCACAAACGAAATATCATGGCTGCCATTGAACAGGCTGGAGTTATGAGTCACAAGTAGATGAAATGATTTGCCTGTTGTCAATGTTCAGCTTAAAGGCAAACCTGAGGACAGAGCATGGATTTCTTTACCTCTCACTGTCAGTTCAATTTGTTCTCAGATTGCTGGATTGAAGGATAATTAAGTACTATCTATGCATATAAAAATGCAATCCAATGTTGAAGGGCTGAACTTATTTTTACATAGTAACTGATACAAACAGCTTAGTATGGCACCTCTGTTACTTACTTTAATATGTCCCACAAGTTCATTTGTGAGCTTCTCTGCCAAATGAGGGACAGTAGCCCTTCCTTCTTCCATAAGAATGCTGTGAAAAAGAGGAAAAGGTGGTTTTGGATAGACCCTGTGTGTAGGGCAAGGAGGCAGCACTGATGCTCTGCTTTGTTTTCTCTAGTTCTACTACACAAATTGAGTAGAGAAAGGGCCCTGGGGGGACTTCTAGTACAGATGTGATAGCAACCCAGGACTCTGGGCACCATGGCTTTTATGCAAGCTTCGTTTCACAGCTACTGGCTAAGCAAAGGGAAACAGAGAAGAATCTGATAATCACAAAATCTAACAGCAGATTAATGTGCTGCTGTATTATTTCTGCATGTCTGAAGGACACTGATTCAAAACCCTTTTCATCTGCCATTCTCTATGGTATGATTGATTTGCTGCTGAGTCATCTAGATAAATTTGTGTCCTCAGCACAGGCAGTATCCTTTCTCATGCTGAGTTTCACCGTGTTTTCCAGTGAACAGAAATTCTTCAATGCTTGTCTTGAAGTGCTCAGATGCTTAGCTTGAATTCTTTGAGACTATTCTGAACTTCTGAAGTTCATTGCACCTCTCCCAGGGTTAAGGTGAGATATATATATATCAGTTTATGTGACATGTAAAATTCTTCTGGCTTACTGGAATGCAACACTACATGGGCAACGAGAAATAGTGAGTATAATTAATACCTGTTTTTAATTCTAATTTAAATCTCAACAAGTCAACAAGAAGCTTTGAAGTGACTTTAGTACTTTTTCTATTAGGTCATTTCTGCGAGAAGTACCTGAAATGTTTGTGATTCTCAAAGAACTTTCTCTCCTGCTGGATTGCAGCAGCCAAGGTCAGTTTGTTATGGATGTCCTGCTGGCCACGACACCTCACGATCATGTAACCTTTTTTGAGAGGGATGACCAGGTTGCGTATTATGTTAATAATAGCCTCTTCAGTTCCTCTGTCCACCAAGTCTGGTTTCGTTAGGATCCCTGCAAAGTTACCCAAAGAGAAAGTTAGTTGAGTGAAGGAGTTAAATGTGGGAGAGGTCCAATAGGACACCCCACCACCAGAGTGGGAACACTCCTGCACTGTGTTTTATAAAGCAGCTTCATTTGATTTTCTCTCTCCTAACAGGTTTCCAGCTTCTGGGCTTTGCACTGTAAGACTTGCTCTATAGTGTGCCTCCCACCATGCCTTTTGCCTTGCAAACCAAAATTGGCTCAAAATTGAGTCAACTTCAAATTCTTAAAATTACTTATCTCAAACTGTAAATAGTTTACTTAGGCTGTTTTCTTTGTTTCCTTCTTCTAGTAGCTGATTTCACATATCTGGCATGGAATACAGAACATCAGACCTTAATGGGAAAGAAGATTTGCACTTCTCTTCTACTTTTAGCTTAAAAATTGCCTCACCTAATGTTCTTTCTCCACTGGGGTCCACCTCCTGAGCCATTTTCAGTGCTTCTGTTGTTGCAATATCCACATTACATGGCACCACTACCAAATTGAGTGTCTCTTTGCAGCCAATAATTTTTCTAAGTAACATCTTGATCTGCAATGCAATACAGCGGTAATGAAGTTCAGTGAAATCAGATGCTTGCATGTAGGATGTGACAATTTCTAGCAATATGAGCCACTGTCTGATGACATTAAATGTCACATATACTGAGTATAGTATTACATGCTAAGGGATAGCATGGGAATGGGTCAGTGGAAGTATGCAGCCTCTTCTGATGTCAAGATTAATCCAAACATCTAGCATGAATGAGGCCTGACTGTTGTTTTGCCTGTCCTGAAAGCTGTGTAACATTTAACCTCTCATACATAGAATATTTCATTATGGAAATATTAAAGCTATTTAATAAATAATCACATGTAAGAAAAAAAGCTCTGGCGTCTAGGTGCATATTTATGGATAGAAAACAAGATAGATTATGATGATAAATCTCAAATTTGTATCTCTGCAAGGAGAGCAAATGTCTTCTAGTTTATATTTCAGTAGACTATCTGAAAAGAAACCCCAAGTCACACATGACATCTAGTTGACTTTTTTTCTGTATGTTAATGCCAAACTAAAAAGAGTTTCTTGTAATTTGTGTTGTACTGCAAAATGTTCGCACAGCTCTATTGTGGTTATACTGAATTAAATTAACTCTTCTTTTTTCCTGAGGTCTGGTAAAGGTGCCTCTCTTTTATACTTCCCATCCATCCCAATTTCTGACATGTTGCAATGTTATATCCTCCATCTCTGAAGCATTCAGACAGCTGGGGATGATGGAAATGTGTGGATCATGTCACACCTGCTGCTTTCTTCTGAATACAATATAAAGATTACTGTCTAACTGTGAAGTGAAAATACTCTTAGAGAGTAAAGCACAGACAATGCACTTGTCTCATTTTTGTTGATATGTCTAATTTAGTTTCAGCTACTCTTATTCCAAGTTCCTATTTTAAAGTATTTTAGGAGAAACAATACACTCAGCTCCTGCGTATCACCCTCACAGTTGGCCTTGTCCAACAAAAGTTTTATTTGCATTCCCCAGCATTTCTTCTAAAAGCAGACAGAAGAGTAGAGATCGCCTCCACTTTAATGCATATTCTGTTTACTTCAAAAAGGGTCTACTGAGATTCCTTAAGGAATGAGAAAAAACAGGATGGGTCTGATTCTGATGTGTTCTGTAAGTAAGGGGTGACAGAGCAACAAACCAATAATAGGGCCAATTTGTCACCTTGCTCCATAAGAGCTTACAAGAACTTGGATATTCACCTTTACCAAATACACCCAGAAAACTGGTAAGAGACGACTCATTTTGGGATGTATCTATCTTCAGGACTGTGGTCTAGCCAAGGGACATGGGGGCAGCACCGTGTTGAAGGTCGACATAGCCAGGTTATTCTGTGCTAACATGGATAGGCTGTGTCAAGGCACCCAAAGTGGCTCCTTCACAGCTAGCGTGGGCAACTCCCTTCTGCACAAGGATGGGAGGACAGGCAGGAGATCCTGGACTACACTGTTCCTATTAGCAATTGTTGGGGAGGGCAGCGAGTCTGCTGCCAACTTGATTGAGGAGGAATTTGACCTCGGCAAGATTCCGGTGTACCTGTGAGAGGAGGAACTTTGCTGAATAAACAATATGTGAAGAACTGCTGTCCACGAAGCAGGATGTGGGAACTGCAATAGCAACATGTGATAAGGAAGATGGGGAAGTATAATAAATGCTAACCAATAGCAATAATAAAAAACAAGCTTTGTGACCAATCACGTAGACGCACGATATGACAATGTTAGTATAAAAAGCGAGCGTCTGTTAGACAAGAGATATTCGTCTGTTAGAGATTCGTCTGTTAGACAATAAAGAGGATTCTTTCTTCTTGTAATAAAGATTCTTCTCGCCTGAATAAGTTGTCGTGTCTGTCTCTACAATGACAGGCGATTACTTGCATGAAAAACAGACCTGCCTGTTTGTTAGCATAGCTCTACTGTTGGCTCAGAAGCCTAGCATAATAAGTCCAGGTTCCTACAGGAAAGGCTTGCATGTGAGGTAAGTTACAGAAGTGACCTTGTGCACAGGTTGGCATATGAGACTGAGTTTTACCTGTTCCCCAATGTCTTTTGGCTGATCCCCCACAGCCACTCTGGCAATTCCAGGAAGATCAATTAGTGTCAGATTTGGGACATCTGGAGACCGAATTTCTAGGGAAATTAATTCTCCACTAATGGCACCTCTAGTACCAGCCACAACATCCTGGGCTGCAAGGAGAAAAGAGTAAGGCAATGAATACAAGCTTCAAACAGTGCATCAAAGCAAAGCAGAACACAACTTTGGAAAGTACTTACTACCACCAAAGGTTCTTTTAGGCCTGGCTTTTTTAAGATTCAGACATGCAGGTAAGTCCATTTATGCAAAAATCTAAGAAAATATTTATACAATACGTGGATACATGGAGTCATTTTGGAATGTGAACTGTAATGTTTTACAAAGTATATACTTAAGAACTCTCATATATGCAGACAAAACACACCACAGTGAAAGTGACCAGATGAAATACTGGTCAGTTTTAGAAATGCTTCCTCAACATCAAGACATTTTGAAGGCATTAATCAATCCTTGGCTGTCTTGAAAGATAAATAGATGTTATTTTATATTCTTCACGTTTTGATAGAGAGGTTGAGATATGAAGTAATTTGTCCCAGATTAAGGCAATAATGCTTGAACTGTGAACAGCACAGAGAAGCAAGGAACCCCACAGTCATTCTCATGAGAGATTTTCAGCTCTGTAATTAGCTTAATCAGTTCATACCACTTGCCTTGCCAGTTTTGGAAGTATATATTGAAAATATCCAAATAATATACTGAAAAGCTAATGAAGAAACATTAGGACAAATAACAATGTTGCAAAACCATGTTAGTCAAGGAAATAAGGATGATCCAGCTTTCACATTTAGAGCAAGTACTTATAGCCCTTTGGGTAAGAAAAATGGTTCCTTACACAGCATGAAATATCATGAAAGTAAAGCTGTGTCATGGGAAGGACAATGATCGAGGCTGTGGTCACAGGCAGAAGGCCTATATGTGCTCCACTCTGCCTTTGCAATTTTCTCCAAAATCATAATTTAAGCCATAGAAACCTCAAGATTCTCTGAGCTTTTGAACTGATGACAAGAACCATTTAGGGCTTTGCATGTTTACAAGTTGAAAGACAACCTCCCCAAACCAGGCAGACAGCGTCCAGCTGAGGACACAGTCTGAGCTTTTATTGGACACCATGGAGCACTGTCACCACTGAAGTAGTAAGTAGCGTAACTGTCTTGAGCGAGTTATATTATGTTTCTTCTGCTCTGAATTCAGTTCTTGGTGTTACTCATGGCTACAATCACTGTGTTAGTATGGGAACTGCTGCTCAGCCTAAGAAAAGGACAGAAAGGATTCAGAGGAGATTGAGCAAGCCGAAGCAGAGGGGAATGCATTACAACTCACCTTGTCTTATTGCTTTCTCCACCTCAGATGCATTTTGGAGCTCTATGATGATGTTGTGGTAACAAAGTTTTCCTTTCCATGCCTCGGTGACAGGTATTTTTCTCAGTTTAAGTTCCAAGGGACATCGAGTAACAATACCTGCAGCAATTCCAAAGACAGAGTTAACTCTGTCAGCAGTTGTTACACAACATGGACTGTGTGACATACACAGGGTTGCCTAATACTTTGCACAGAGACACAGAAATTTTCCAAGAGACATTGCCAAAGGGGTCTCCTCCAACTTTCCACTCATAGCAGGACCATCACCAGCACTAGATGAGGTCAGCCATGGCTCTGTCCAGCCATGTCTTGTCTTGCAAGCCTCCAAGGATGGAAATTCGCACCTCTTTGGGTGACCTGTTTCAATGCTGCACCTACATACTATGAAAACCTTTTCCTCAAGTTCAACCTGAAAGGCTAGATCGTATTGTCAACTCAGACAGAACTTGCAGAACTTATATAGAATCATAGAATGGCTTGGATTGGAAGGGACCTTAAAGATCACCCAGTTCCAACCCCCATGCCATGGGCAGGGACACCTTCCACTAGATCACGTTGCTCCAAGCCCAGTCCAACCTGGCCTTGAACACTGCCAGGGAGGGGGCAGCCACAGCTTCTCTGGGCAACCTGTGCCAGTTCTCAGGAAAAGGAAAAGGAAAAAGAGGGAGAGGGAGAGGGAGAAGGAGGGGAGAGGAGAGGAGAGGAGAGGAGAGGAGAGGAGAGGTGGAGATCCCTTTCACCTCATCAAAGTGAAATTCAGATGAAAACTCAATGAAGTTGTGTTCTTACCATTGCCCCTAGGAAGAGCAATGCCAGACAGGGCTTCTAGGACAGAGCTTTTCCCAGAGCTCTGGTCTCCGATCACTGCGATTGCGGGCAAAGCCAGGTCATTTTCTATTCCGAGAGCTCTTAGGCTGTCGATCAGATCAATGCAGGGTTGGATCTTTTCCTCATATTGGTTGTACAAGGTATGTTCTGCTGCCTGCTAGAGTTAAACTTACAGTGAATTTTCCATAAATTAAAAATAAGTTGTTTCCATAAGAAAACACCCGTTTTTGGCATCCTTTCAAGCTAATCATTCTCTAGTAAACCTTATGTACTGGCATCAAGCTGTACGTCATATCACTGTGCATTCTTACACATTTGTGTTATAAACAAGTATATGTAAATACAAAAAAGTCAGTTGAGGTTGGCTCAATGACTATCCTTAGCAAAAATACCAAACTTTGTAAGATATCCTGAGAAGGTAAAGAGTAAAATGAGACCTCAATACTAAGTGTGATTTGGTTTTGTTTTTTTTTTTTTTAATAACTGTCATTTTCTTCCACTCATCCATAGATGTACTGAAGTATGTGTATGCAAATGGAGACCAGCCCCAGTAATAACAGAATGTAGTACAAAATAGTTTATTAAATCTTTGTTTGAATGTTTAGTTTGTGTTCAGACACCAAAAGCATTCTGCTGTAGTGTCCTTAACAGGTGGCTAAAATCTTTTAGACCATCATGGCTCTTCTTTCTTTGCCTCATTTTAGGCTAGGGTAAAGGATAAATATGACTGATGTGTTTTAGATGTTTTATTGTAATTTTTTGGGTTTGATACACTTGCCAGATACTAACATAGGTTCCTGATTTTCAAAACAAACGAAATAATTTCCAGCCCTTTACAAAACTGGTCCACCTGCTGTTAAACATGCCCAGTTGAAGAGTATAAAGATCAATTTGGTCTCTTCTCCCCGTTTCTCTCTCCACATTCCAGTCTGACTACTGCATTTAGAAATGCAGTTTTGAAAACACCAATATTTTATAGACCCTAACAGGACAGGCACATTCATACTTGATTTTTTGAAAGGGAAAACTGAAGATTCTCACCATCACCTTTGTCTAAGAAAGCCACCTCTGAAAATACATGATCTAATCAAACAGAGAAAATTTCTCTTTCAAGATGAGAAAGACAGCACACATTACTGGAGGCAGATATTTTAAAACCTTACTGGTAACCCCTCCCCACTATCTTCATCACAATGTTTACTAACTAGTAAATCCTAACCATTCTCAAGGAATTTGACTATGGCACAGACTTAAAACCAATCTGTTTTCAGTGTCAAATATTCAACACAGGTTATTATTAACCTTTCTTTGCATTTCTGATGAAGGTAGTAGAGCCTCAAGTAAAAATATCTCAGATTTTAGGATTTCTGTTCAGCATTTGCTAATTGTTACCAATGAAACAGATACATGTTGCTCATTCAATTTGCTGCTAGGCTGCTGCCATCCTATTTTTGAGACCTGCATTTTTTATGCCTGCAGATTAATTGCAGGTACCTGTCTTCCTAGTTACACAAATGACTGCGTGGCCCTGACCCCAAAAGTATTCCTCTGCTTAGACCTAACAAGTGCAGATTACCCAAAGAGACAAAGGAATTAATTTTGGGGCACAACGTGAGTCAGAGTGGGAAGGATCTATGCCCTCTTCTGGCATCTATCTGCCTTACCTTGTCTTGTTCTCCGTAACACTGTTCCTTCAACTCCTTCCACTCGCTAGGTTTTCTCTCAGTCATGTTCTCCGACATCAGATCTTCATCTTCTAAGTCTGGTGGGAGAGGTACTGCAAAAGCTTCTGAAGATGTTTGTACAGAAGGTGATGTAAAAACATCTTTCTTCCGGGCAGGTTTGGTTCTTTCAGAAAGTTTTTTGACTGCTGCATTCTTATTATCCATAGCCTGCTGATTTCTTGGCCTACCACGTAGGTCATCCATAAATACTTCTCTAAATAGGGATTACTGTCTGGTCCAACCACTCTTTCACACAGTTTCTGAAATCAAACATGGGGCACTGAGTGACTCCAGCTTGCAACATGATCACAGCAGAGAAAATCAAACACCGGTTTTATTGACTGATTCAAACTCTCATTAGATATCAAGTGCCACAGCTCTTTTCAAATCACTGAAATTGCTCTCCAGAGGATATATTTGAAACACTTCTCCCTACCTCTTTTATGCTTTCGTTGTGTTTTCAAAAAAAGGAATTGTCACAGAGTAAACAAGAATTTATTTTTTTTTTTTTGGGGGGGGGGAAGATAAACCATTTTTTGCAAAAAGCCAGTTTTCCTCAATGAAATCTTTTGCTAAAAGGTGTTTTGAGAAGCATAATCAGTATGGCAGCTGCTGGGCATGGTTGGAAAGAGTGTGTGAATGCTTAACTTCAGTCACATGGGAATACAGAGCTGTGTGGCTGCACAAGGAGGGTCTACATGGGTGGCTCAACAACTATGACAGCAGGAAACACCAAGCCATAGTCTGCTATGAGGCCAACTCACCTTCCTTGCAGTAGAAACACTTGTCAGGGGCAAATCTTGCATCTATTTTAGAAGCTCAACATCTTAATCACCCCCTCAATAGCTTAAAACCCTCTCCAAAAATGGTGTCACTGGCAAACTTGCTGAGGGTGCACTGAGTCCCACTGTCAACGTCACCCACAAAGATGTTAAATAGCACCGGTCCCAATATTGACCCCTGAGGAACGCCACTAGTTGCTCTCCACTCAGACATCGAGCTGTTGACCACAACTCTTTGAGTGCGACTGTCCAGCCAGTTCCTTATCCACCAAGTGGTCCATCCATCAAACCCATGTCTCTCCAATTTAGAGACAAAGATGTCATGTGGGACAGCATCAAATGCTTTGCACAGTTCCAGGTAGATGATATCAGTTGCTCTTCCCTTACCCACCAATGCTGTAACCCCGTTGCAGAAGGCCAACATATCTGCCAGGCACGATTTGCCCTTAGTGAAGCCATGTTGGCTGTCACCAATCACCTCTTTATTTTCCATGTGCCCTAGCATAGTTTTCAGGAGAATCTGCTCCATGATTTTATTGGGCCCAGAGGTGAGACTGACTGGCCTGTAGTTCCCTGGGCCTTACTTTTTCCCTTTTTAAAAATGGGGGTTATGTTTCCCCTTTTCCAGTCAGCGGGAACTTCACTGGACTGCCACAACTTCTCAGATACGATGGATAGTGGCTTTGCCACTTCATTCACTAGTTCTCTCAGGACCCATGGATGCATCTTGCCAGGTCCCATGGATTCGTGCACCTTCAGCTTCCTCAGATGGTCTCAAACCTGATCGTTTCCTACTGTGAGCTGTTAATTCTCCCAGTCCCTGCTTTTGCCTTCTGCAACCTGGGCGGTGGTGTGGCTGGAACACTTGCCGTTGATTACCTTGACCTTCTCCATACAATGGGTAATCAGATCTCCTGTTTCCTTCTGGAGAGGGCCCACATTTTCCCTAGTCTTCCTTTTATCACTACGTACCTATAGACATACTTTTTCTTGTTGCTTTTGATGTCCCTGGCTAGATTTAATTCTATCAGGGCTTTGGCCTTCCTAACCTAATCCCTGGCTGCTTGGAAAGTTTACTGTATCCCTCCCAGCCTACCTGTCCTTGCTTCCACCCTCTGTAGGCTTACCTTTTGTGTTTGAGGTTGTCCAGGAGCTCCTTGTTAACTTCCTCTTCTTTTAATTTTTTTTTGTTAAACTTGCAGGTTTTCTAGTTTGAGCAGGTGTCAAAACAGGATGATCAGACACAATGTAAGTTATACTTTCAAGGTGTAAAAGAAATTTAGAAAAAAACAGATTAATTCCACACTTGCTATTCAGTCTTTCTTTTTAATAAAACAGTACAATATTTTTAATAGATATTCCTGTCTCTTTTTATCAAAATAAAAAATAAATTACTATGGGTAAACTTCTCAGTTTTGACCAGAAATAAAAGATGACTGAACTACTTCAGTTTCTTTATTTATTTTACAGTTCTCTCATCATTCTCCACATGTACCCTTTTTAAAAATATTTCAGTAGGAACTTTTTTCTCTTTCTGCTAGTGAATTATAGAAATTTTCTTCCTTGAATGAAGACCAAGTGCTTTATCTGCAACAAACATACATTCCCCATTCACTGACCACCAGATTCTTTTGTGATTTTTCTATTGCTACAGGAAATAATTTACTGACAGTAATGTTTCTAATAGTAATCACTTTTATTGCCTCTCCCATTCTCTGCGTGTGTTTCAACTGAGTGGAATGAACACTTCCCATAAATTTTTAATTTAATGTAAATATTACCCAGGATTAGTTTTCTGTCCCATTTACATTATTGGGCTGTGTTCAGAATTCTTAATGTACTGATTTTAGCCATATGGCCTCCTAAATATGAATATGTTCCTTTCAGAAAGAGGTTATACAGCAAACCTTAGCTACCCTTACAATGAATAGGATGAAAAGTAAAAATAGTGTAGTAAGGCCACTAGGAAAAACAAACAAACAAACAAACAAACAAAAGAGAAAGAACTTGCAAGATAAACCTGTGATATCTGGGAAACTGAAACTTAAGGAGTCTGACAAAAAAAGTGGCAACTTTGAAATATTTTAGTGCAAGGGCTATATGTTACCACAGACCCAGGTTTTTTAGCTAAGTCTACAGTGCAGACCACAGATACACAGGCTAACAAAGATACCTACAGTAAGCAGTAGAGAAAATCAGCATGTGTGGATTTCTGAGCTACCCGGCTGTTCTTCACCTGGACCTGAAAATGGTTAGATAGGTTGGTGCAACCCTTCACTGTGCCATGCAGGGGGCATAGTGATTGCTTTTGCAGTGAGCCTTGACAACATTGGATGAAAGAAAGAAAGGAGAGGAAAAAAAGAGCTGCAACTTTTAAGTGCCTTTCTGAAATTAGCCAGAATCCACGTGTGAAACGTGACACCTGGATGATGTGCTGATACTGAAACTCTGATACCCCTCCCACCGGAGTTGCACCTGCTTCCGTCATTGGGACTATATTGGTTTCCTTGAACCTTACCTTTAGACATTTGCCTGCCTGTGTGTTGGAAACCGCTCCCAGCACAACATGAAGCACTGCACTACACAACTACATCTCCATGAAGGACCAACCCGCTGATGGTGCTAAAGAGGAGTTGCCTCATTTTTCTCTAATGATCCTGGCTTTGTGTCTCGACAGGTAATAACAAAATCTGTGATCAAACCCAAAGTGCAAAGCTGTGGCATAAACCCACATAGCTCTTGAATTTATTCACTCTGTGTCCAGCCAGAGGAGCGCAGGGCCTGACATATCCTGTGTTATTTCAGGATATTTGGGTAAACTACACAGTCTCTGGTTTGTATGTTTATTAATTCTAGCTGTCTTCTCAGAAGAAAAAATGAAGCAATGCAATCCAAAATTATGCTACACATGAATACTGCCAGATAAACCATGTTGCTGAATAAAATGTGCCCCCACAATGCACACTTCAAAAAATGTGTTCCAATTTAAATGCTGTCTCTCAGTCATCTCCCTTTAAAAAAGAAATAATACTAATATATTTTCTTTTTTCCCATCCCAGAAATCAACAAATCCTACTCCTGGAAGCCTTGTTTAGCTTACTTTAGACTCTTATACAGCCTTATCACATACAACTATTAAAAGGAATGAAGAGTCAAAAAATGTGTGATTATTTTTAGAAGGAGGAAAAGAGAAACTTTTACCTGTGTCGTGTCCTGTAGCAAGGAGAAGCAATGACTCTTCAACTTCTTCTGGTGCTTTTTTACTTACAGGCTCCACCTACACACTGTGACAAGAGTCAGGAGAAACGAAACCAATTCTGATATGAAAAGGGCTCGCTTCATGACAGCTCTGGAAATAATAATGCAATGCGCTGTTTTTTTCTTTTCATTCATTTCCTTATATGCTAGCCAACTTTCCTGCTGTTGTTTAGCAGATGACAAAAATGAAACTCCTCACGAACACAGCTGGCTGCCTCCTCACTTGGCTGTACTGCACAGCAGGGTGACAGGGGCAAATGGCAGAGGTGCTTGGAAATATTACCCATGAGGAACAACCCCCCCTTCCTCACCCCAAAAGTCCACTCGCTGAGTCAGCTCACTTGCATGTGGGGTGAAACCAGCCAGGTTGAGTGGAGAGTGGGCAAGCTGCTGTGCCCCAATCCCCACAGGGATACCCACTGGAGATGCTGGCCCTGCACGATCAAGGGGACCCTTTCAGCCTTCTCATCCCTTCTTGCAAAGAGCAAGTGGGTGAGGGTGCCCTCCACAGGAGAGGGAGTATTTCTTCCACCTCACAGAAACTTTCCAGCCCAGCTATGGTGGCAAGTTGTGTCACCGCTCACCTGGGCTGCACCTTTGCTGGTGGAGGCTGCAGGGTATGGCCGAGGTTGATGAACATGGACAACAAGAAAGCAAAGGGATACACACTGGGATTTATTGCTGCTATGCACTACTTCAGGGCAGTCGAGGTCTCAAGCTGTTTCTCAGGTCCTGGCACTCATTCCTTGACATTACTGGGTCAGGATGCTCCCTATTCTGGTGTCTTTGCTCTCCTGCCCACGTTTTTTGTGTTTTTATAGGTTCTAAGCTGTTAAGAAAAATCAGCTTGCTTTGTCCAGACAGGGACTTTGCAAGCCTGATGGAGGATCAGCCGTTATTTCTCACTCCCTCTGGTTTTGACTATTGCCTCGATCAGCTGCTTTCAGTTCCTGGTGGTTTGGGCATGTTTCAAACTGCCTCACTGTGGTTCGTGGATCTGACTGAGCAGCAGTCACAATGTTCATTAGAGCCAGCCCTTCCTCCTACTTCATCATCTAGCAGGGACTCAGAGGGCTTGTGTCTCAGCTCTGGCTGTAGGTGTGTGGCAGGGAGTGACACGGGGCCAGTGCTGCACGGGCAGTACCATGGCTCGCTCGGCATGGGCCGTGGCAGGGACTGCAGCTGCAAGATCTCCTGGCCTCCTCCGCCATCCCTCTTGTACTCAAGCATATAAGAGACCTATCTGAGTGGGAATGGGCTTCTGAGTCATGCTACTGATTAGCTTATTAATTTTCAGCAGTGCTTTTGTTACATGAATGATTTGCTTATGGGGTTTTGTTTAATCACAAGACTATGTTTTGAAGAAAAAGATGAGATCTGGGCAATATCACCTTGCTGTGAAGGGGAAATCATGGTTCTCCATTCTCCAAATGTTAAGATTTCAGTTGTCCTATTTTTTTCTGAATCAGCAAAATAAAATCTTTACCCCATTACTGGGAAATATTTTAGTGTAATGAATTGAAAACAGTTTTCCTGTTTATGTAATGATTTGTAACAGCATGTTTCACTGCCAATACAGTTCTACAAACTAAGACAACACAATATAGGATGTTTAAAAAGAGAATAAGCAGAATTTCTTTCAAATCTCAGAAATATAGAGTATGTTTTGAAACAATTTTAATCAACATAAATATAGGACATGATGCAAAGGATGAAAGACCAAGCATTTGTCAAAACAAATTCATATTATACTTTTAAAAAGGAATATCAAAATGTAATGTAAATGCACTAGTTGGTAGGATCATTATGTGACATAAACCATTAGGCAAAATCCTTAATCATAAAATTATTCAGGTAGTAAGAGACTGTCAGGTATCGTCTAGTCAAACCTTATAACTCAAAGTAGTTCAAAGTAGTTCAGACCATGTTGTCTCAGGCTTTATCCCATTGACTCTTGAAACCCCCCAAGGATGGAGATTCCACAGCCTCACTGTGAAATTCATTCAAATGGTTAAAGAGCCTTGGAGGTATATTTTTTTCTTCTTCATATCCAGACGGATATATCCCTGCTGTGTCAGTTTATGTCCCCCCTTCTCTCATTCCCCCACTGTGCATCTCTGCAAAGAGCCCAGCACCATCCTCTCAGACATAGATGCTGGGGGGGTGCTACAAACCCACCCCCACAGCCACCCCTTCCCCGGGGTTGAGCAAGCCCTGAGGCCGCTGCTCCTCCCCTGACCACCCTCAAACTTGCTGTTCTGCCCATGTTTTTCAATACTGGGGCCTCTAGACAGGAGGTTGTATCCAGATGAGATCTAACAAGTGCCATGCAGAGGGGGTCAAACACATCCCTCCATCTCCCACCTGCTCCTCTCCACACCACACAGGGTGCTGCCAGTGTTCAGTGCTGCCAGGACATGCTGCTGGCTCCTGTTCAGCCTAATGTTCACCATGACCTCAAGGGTCCCTTCCAGCAGAGGTGCTCCTCAGCCAGGCAGTCCCCAGTTCATGGCACTGCAGGGGTTTATTCTGTCCCAGGAGCAGAATTTTGCATCTGTCCGTGATTAGTGGACAAGGACCTTAACACACACCGCCCCCCACCCCGAAAAAAAAAAAAAAACAAAACCAAAAAACAACCATCTTCAGACAGCTGCTAAGAAAAACTGTCAAAACTCCAAGCCTAAAATCCCTACAAAAGCAATCCCTACCTAAATAAATAAACAGAAATCCCACAGTCAAGCCAGAACAAACACTCATAGCTTCTGTAAAGCTGTGTAGCTGCCTGTAGTTCTGCTGATGAAAGAGCATAGTTCTGGTAGTTGTAGATGAGTTGGCTGTACTTCCACAGCAAGGGCTTGTCCTTGTTGAACTCCATGAGGTTCACACAGGCCCACCTCCCCAGCCTGTCCAGGTCCCTCTGGATGGCCCATCCCTTCCCTCCAGCGTGTCGACCGCACCACACAGCTTGGTGTCACTGGCAAACTGCTGAGGGTGCACTCAGTCCCACTGTCCATGTCTCTGACAAAGATGTTAAACAGCACCAGTCCCAACACCAAGCCCTGAGGAATGCCTCTGTTCACAGCTCTCCACTTGGACATGGAGCCATTGACCACAGATCTTTGTGTTGATGGTATCTGAACAATTGCCAGAAGAGAATGGATCCTGAGATCTGGATGTTTACAGGCGGTAATATTTTTCCCTAACCTTTTTTCTATTTTCCTAGCTTCTGACAGTGAGAAAGGAATAGAAGAGCATTGTCTTTTACAGATAAGGCAAATAAAGTCAATTTGGAGGGGAGAGGCAGAATCTGAAGTCTAATATTTGCATGTGGTGTATATGATTGTCCATGAACTGTTTAGGTGGAATTAGTTTTACATGTGCTTACTCCACTTCTCTTCCTTTAATCTTGTTACATTAAAAATTATTGAGACAAGCTCCTCAATTCATGTAAATTATCACTTTCAACGAGAAACTAAATGGTAGCAGAAGAACTGGGAAAATTGTATTGGGAAAGTTGTGCCCTTTGAGGTGAATTAAACATGTTTGTGTTTAAATACAGAAAAATTTAATGAACAATGTATTGAGCAGAGTACTACTGCTGTTAAGTGGTTCTACAAGGACTATGTAAACATGTGGCATAGGCCAATTCCTTACACGTGCACCTATACCCACCATGTGAGTGTTGGCACAGGGTGCCTTAGCCCCACAGTGCCTTCCCCAGCACCAGCTCTTCTGCCCAAAGGTGGCCCCTGGGTGCTCCCATTGCACCATTGCTACAAGACAGGCACTTCTTATCACATCACCTGGTGAAACTTCATTCCCTTACAAGGAGCAGTCCTGTGTCTGGCATCCCTGCTTCCAGCCAGGGTAACTTCTTCTTGCCCTCCATGCCAGATCATGCCTTGGTCATGAATGACCACTGCTGAGCAGTTACAATTTGAATTTCCCCTTCTATGGCTGTACTGGGTCTGGCTGAGCTGGAATTGGCTTTCCCCTATAGCAGCCCTCACGGTGCTGTGTTTTATGCTGGGAGCTGGCAGGGTGTTGATGGCACCCTGGTGTTGTGGCTACTGCTGAGCAGGGCTTACACAGCACCAAGGCTCTTTCCAACATTTCCCCTCAGTGGGACGGGGTGGGCAAGATCTTGGGAGGGGACACAGCCAGGACAGCTGTCCCCAGCTGACCAAAGGGATATTCCAGACCATGTGATGTCTGCTCAGTATAAAGCTGGGAAAAGGAGGAAGGGGCTGGGGTCACCCTTGGTCCTCCGAGGCAACCACTACGAGTACAGGAGCCCTGTCATGGGAAGTAGAGAATAAATGTTTTCCTTTTTTTGCTTCCATGCGCGGACCTTTGCTTCGCTTTGCTTATATTAAAACTGCTTTTGTTTTACTCACAAGAGTTGGTCTGTCTTATTTTCTTTCCCCTCTTTGCCCTGTTGAGAAAACAAGGGGAAGGGGGCGGGGGAGTGATAGAGCAACTTGGTGGATACCTGGCATTTAGCCA